TTTAAATTGAGATGTTAATGAAAGTTTATAAAGAACTTGGGTTTCCAATTGTTCATTGTTGCATCGCTTTTTTTCTTTGGGGAAAAAAGTTCTTCCATTGATATACAGTCCCCCCAACCTGACCACTTTACTATGCAGCTCTTATTCTGGACTCTTGTCATGCCAGTACTACATAATCATGTATTTCTTTATACAGTTTTCTCCCTCGTCTGTTTCAATGCCGTGTACTTTACCTAGCCCCTCTTTTCTTAGTTTCCTCCCAGCCCCCATGCCAGTCCTGTTTTATAACAGTGGCACTATGTCATATTTGTCTTTTTGTGACTGAGATATTTCACTGAGCATAATGTCCTTTAGGGTCACCCATTTTGTATAATTCATGAGTTCCTTGTTTTTCAATGCAGCATAGTATTCCATTGTGTGGATATACCACAGTTTCTCTATCCATTTGCTTGTTGATGGGCACTTGGGTTGTTTCCAACTCTTTGCTATTGTGAACAGAGCCATGATAAACATAGGTGGGCATCACCTTAGTCTTTAAGATCCTTGCTCTTTAGGATTTCAAAGAGGTTTAAACAGCATATTTCCCCCAATGCAACACATCTTTTGATTTCTTGACTGCTTCTTCTATGTGCATTGATTGTGGATTCAAGTAAAATGAAGTAATTGATTGTTAGGGCCATGGAGCTGCTCTCAACTCCCTTTCCCTAGAACAGCCACATAAATGATCAAAGCAGCAGCTGCAACTCTCTTTGTCAGGGCTGCAAAACTATTTCATCTCCCTTTCCCAGAACCCTCGACCTGCTCCCTTATCTTGTACCAAGCAGCTGTGTACATCCTAATTCCTAAATTTCCTTGTAAAACAATACATAAAACTCAGAGCCAGCCTGGCAGTTTCACCTCAATAAACTGTCTTTCTTGGCCTGAATTGGGTTCTGTCCTTCCTTGGCGACCTTACATTGATAACTTCAATCTCTGTCTACCATGATGTTGCCTATTAGTCCATCTGAGAGGATTCAGAAGAGGCTATAGAATGAGGAATATCATGGCTGATGTCAGATAGATCTTAGCCACAAGCAGAAAATACTAGAAAGATTTTTACTTATATTTTATTGACTATCCAGACATTTGTTGTATGGATCATAATAAATTATAGATAACATTGAGGAGAATGAGAATTCCAAAACACGTAATAGTGCTTGTAGACCAAGGCACAGTCATTTGAATAGAACAAGGGATACTCCATACCAGTTCGATCTGTATACTGAGTAAATAATTTAAGAAGTTGGATTATTTAAAGAAGAGCAAGTCAGTTCCTACCAACATCCATTCGTGCTCCTTTCTTTCTTGTCTTTATAAGGACCTTTTGCTTTCTTCGTGGATGATATCCTTGATACCATCCCACCCCTGGTCTGGCAGCCAGTCGTTAGGGTTCACTGCACCAAACCTGTTCTTTTTTTCTTAAATTAATTTTCATGAACGTTTACAGAGAGTTTGGATTTCCATCCATTCATTGTTGCACTTTTCTCCCTACCCAACCTCCCCTCGAAACCTGTTCTTGAGATGGCTTTTACATTCGGGTGGGATAAATGAAAGGTTGTATTTTGGTTCTTTTGGACTTGTTTTAATTTTCTTCAACTTGTTTTCAGTTTGAATTTGTGTGTGACTAATTGATGGTCTGTTCCACAGTTGGCCCCTTGCCTTCTTTTAACTGTTGATACTGAATTTCTCCACTATCTCCTTCCACAGATGTAGTCCATCTGATTCCTGTATCTTCCAGCAGGTGAGGTCTGTGTGTATAGTCACATTTATGCTTTATTTTTTTTAAAAGGTAAAGATAGATTAATCTTTGTTTTGTCCCAATTCAATACATGAACCAGTTGTCACCCCACAGACTCTCTCCACCACCACATAGATGCCCCATTGAAAAGATTAGGGAGCTCAGTTTGATTCTTCATCTTTGCATTTGAAGCTCAAAGTTCCAAAGTTGTTGTTAATATCTGCAGGGTTAGCTTAAAAATTGGTTTTTCTAGCCATCATGTTAACAGCCTTCTGGTCTCCAGCAGCCTTAACTAAAGAATGAACCCATGAACCAAACAAGCTGGGGTAGGAAAGAGCTCAAGTCAAGTTTATCGAAGCAATTAGAGAATGAAACTCTCACATGTGCGAGAATGGCTTCTGAAGGAGGGTGCTGCTGGGCTGCTAGTGTGTAGGGATTTTGTAGGGTTAGGAAACCTGTGTTAATTTAGTTCTGAGAGGAGCCAGTGTGCACTTTGGAGGCAAAGATGACAAGGCTTCATCTCACGTACTTTGGGGCATGTTGCTAGGAGAGGCTATTCCTTGGACATCATGTTTGGGGAAGTGGAGGGTTAGTAAAAGAGAATGAGACCCTCAGCCAGTTGGATTGACACAGTGACCACAGCAATGAGCTCAAGTGTGTCAGAGATGGTGAGGATGGCACAGGATAGGACAGGGGTCAGATTCTGTTGTTCAGAGGGTCGCTATGGGTCCTTCTAGACTTGATGGTACCTAACAACAACAACAACAACAACAACAACAACAACAACTCTACGGTTAGTTCTTTTGAATTTTTTTTCTTCTTAGTTCTTTTGAATGTTGACTTTGCCTCTGGCTTATCACTGGTGTTGGCACACGGCTTTCGCTGTCATTTCCAGTCACTGGAGTTGGCACATAGACTGGCTTTCCCGCTACCAATTACAGGAGTTGGCACGTCAGCTTCTTTGCTGTTTCTAATCACACAGGTTGGCACGCAGACTTTCTCGGCTGTTTTCTGGTGACAGTGCTGGCCAATCAACCGCTGGTGTGTGATACCTCCTTGTAGACAGGATGTGGGTGAAATGCCTCTGCCTGTGTAGGGACCCACAAGCCCCCTTCTTGTCTTCACTGACCCTTTTCTCAGCTTCCTCCTTAACTTCCCTGTGCCTTTCACGTGTGACCTTCCCCTCGTGACAGTCAATCAGGAGCAACCAATCTTTCTGCCTCTTCTTGGCAAGGTTTCTCAGGCTTTCTTCCACATCTGCTGTGAAATCTGAACCCCTACAGGATGTTTTCTCTGGATGTGAGTGTCTCTGTGCGGTTCTCTTTCTCTTCGACACTGTGCCAGGACTTGGGTCCTCCAAGGTTTCCTCCCCCTCATGCACTGTGACCAGTCCTCTGCAGACACAGATGAACCCAGAGCTCGCATTACAATCTGCCTTAGAGTCTTCCTTGTTCATATTGACTTTCAGGTTTCTTATTGATCTGAAAATTTTATCTTGTCATATGTTAACTTTTTTTTTCTAAATTTCATAGTATGATGTTTTCAAATATCCATTGCTATATACTTTAGTAGTTAACATTTGATTTTTCTCCTCAACATCCCTCTCAATTTTCAGTAAAATTTTGCTTCAGGGGAACGGGAGGTGGGTTTTCTGTAGACTAGGGAGCTCTGGTGGCCTAGTGGAAAGAAGCTGACCAGTCTCCTCCCAAACAATTAACTTACTCTGAAAACCTGCTGGAGGGTCCGCTATGGGTGGTTTCTAACTAGAACGGTATGCAGCAGCAACAACAACAACAATGAAGTTGTTTCTGAGCTTTGATTTTAAACTGGAGTCAAAGCTCACACATAGGCACACAACACAGAGAAAGCATTGCTTTCAGATTTATCCTTTCCTGAAAGAGAAGACTGTAATCCCAGAACATTCAAATTTGGAAACGATTGCCTTAAAGGAGGCCATTTATAGGATTGACTTTAGAGTAACCCAGTGTTGAGTGGCTGAAGATAGGATGTAAAGAAAATTCTTGGCATGTGAGAAGACACACAGAGTCATGGATGGATGAAAGGGGATGAGAGGAAAGTGAATGAGGAAATGTAAGAGTTCTGCTGTTTCATTTAAACCTGTGGATGGTGATGAATGACTCCATTAAAACAAAAGAAAACAAACCACATTCACTGGATTTGGAAAGAATCCATTAGAAAACATTAAAATAATCCCTGCTTCTGTGGGACTATGCATGAGGAGGCTGATATAAGGTTCCAGGGCCAACCTGGGGCAGGAAAGGTCAAGTAACTGAGACAGAGTGATGTCTCCCTGAGGGAGAGGGATAGTGCTAAGAGGAAGAGGCTTGAGTTTGTAATGAAGAAGGTGCAGAGTTCTAGGACCCCCAACCAGAAGAGCAGGGGCCACATTCGGGACATTAGCAGTGGACACATGAAAGGACAAAGAGACTAGGGACTCAAATCATTCTTTAGAGGCTACACCTAGACTTCACACATCATTTTAGGAGGACAAGGGTGGGAGATAAAGCCTGGTCAAAGGAAAAACATGGACATTTGAGAAATTTTTTTGGTATGTCAGACAGTATTTAAAAAGGAAGAAAGCGTGGAGATAAATTATTAGCAAATATTTGTGTTTTCTGTGTTGATTGTTAGTGGGAGTCTAAGAGAAATATGAGTTTGGTGATGTAAAATGAGAAGAGGAGCTTTATCTTCCACATGTGAATCAGTGTAAGTTATTGACCCTTTGGTAATGCTGACTGTGTTTTGACTATAATTCCTGGATGGACTTTGATGGCACATTCTCCGTTCCCCCTCCCCTGATTTTTATTCATCTGAGAATTTTAATATTTTGGGGGCAGAACAAATGATAAAATCCACGTGCATTTTTACAGCACTTTGCTTTTTTTTTAAAGTAAGTGAAAACTTACCAAATAAATTGATTTTTTTCACTCAACCATTTGTACACATTTTGGTTTCTCACATTTATTATAATATCCACAGTGTAATCACACTCTTCCTGCTTCTTCTGTGTGCAGCTCATCTCCATGATTCCTTTCCTCCTACTGGATTGCACTTTTGGCACATCCCTTTCTATATTGTGTGAGTTAAGCGAGGCAGTTATTAGTCTGATTTACAGAGTAGATAATAAAGGCTTTGTGAAGTGAGGAGACTTGGCGGCCAGCTGCACGTTAGCGCCCATCCTTCAAGACTTCTCTCTTCAAATTCACTGTTTCCTTGAGCTGCTTCCCTCAGTGACGGTGCTGGGATTAATGCTGAAGTTTTCTTTCTCGTGGAAGCAGAAAGGGTGGCTAAGGAGAAGGCTGAGCGCCCTCGTTGCCTTCGCCCCGGCTTCCTGTGTTCCATTCCACGTTGCAGTGAGGGGCTGCACCAGGCTGCTGTGCTCCACGTGGCAGACGTAGGGCGCTTCACCCTCAGGAGGGACTTCCACCACCGCCCAGAACTGATAGGTGCCAGGCCCGCTGGGAAGTACATCTCCCGCCGACTCAGACGTCTGTTCTTCGTTGGCCCGGGTCCAACGCAAACCAATTCCTCGCGGATAGAAGTCATAGGCCAGGCACTTGAACGTCTTGTTTTTTCCTGGAGCCGTGTGTCGAGTGATTAACACAGAAGGAGGATCTGGGGAGGGACACAGCATGGATATTGAGACCGTGAGCTAGACTTCTCCTTGCCTACTGCTCTTCTCCCAGGTCCCTGACTGCCAGGTATTGTTCTTTGTGATCCGTCCTCCATCAGATTTTAATCACACGGGAGCAGATTGCCCATCTCCTGGTAGGTTCGAACAGCGTGCCTTTGGTGTGGCAGCACAGCTTTTTACCACTAGGCCACCAGAGCTCCCTCACCTTAAAACACATCTCAGTGATCAGCGAGGGGTTAACGCTGAGCTTTGTATTTGCCTCCAGCGTACTCCCTGGCAGCAAGGTTGGTGAAACTTCCTCTCACGTACTTTGGGCATGTTGTTAAGAGAGGCCAGGGAGGGTCAGCGTAAGAGAAGTCCCTTACTAAGAAGGATTGACATGGAGATGGTGAGGGGAGCTTCAGATCAGGCAAGGTTCATAGGGTTGCTATGCGACGCAGTCTAGTTGACTCCACATAACAACAACAACAATAGCAACAATAGAAACCTCTTTGAGAACAGGGCAAGTGGAAGCTTCCCTTAAGCCTTCACTACTGGATCGTAGAACATCCACGTTGACTCTTTTGTCGGTCCTCACCACCCATCATGCAGTGATTTCTGATGGTAGGGAGCTGTGAGTAACCCCAAAGACTTTCCTAATTCCCCACCCCTCAAACCTCTGAGTAAGTTTTGCAGCCCCCTTCTTCCTTCAGTTTCAGCCCAGACCCTTAGCTTTACCTGTGCGTCTATGCCTCAAAGCCTTCCCTCTGCTGTGTTAAATGTTCTTTCTCTTTGCTTCCTAATCCACAGTGTCAATTGATAGCAACCCGTTTTGTTCACATTTGCTCACTTCTGTCCTGTTAAGGCAGATAATTTGCACACTTGTCTGCCACTCTTTAAAATCAAGCTGAGGGAGCTCTGGTGGCCGTGGCAAGAAGCTGTACTGCAATCCCAGAGGTGCATAGTTCAAATCCACTAGATGCTCTGCTGGAGAAGGAGGGGCAATCTCCTCCTGTACCTGTCAGATCTGATTTGACGGTACACACACACACACAAATAACAGAATTTAAAAAAAATCAATCAAGCTGAGGAAGGTGTAATGATAGTGACGTGAAATGACCTGAGTTGTTCTACCGGTTGTTGAATAGTATCTCCCACTTGCTCTTCTCTAACTTATGTCCTTCTGGAACCTCAGTGTGTGACCTTATTTGGAAATTAGGTCTTTGTTGATGTATGTAAGCAAGTTAAGATGAGGTCTTACTGGATTAGGTTGAGCCTTCATGCAATATGATTGATGTCCTTATAAGAAAAGAGAGATACAGATACGGAGGGAAGATACGTAAAGAGGGAGGCAGAGATTAGAGACGTATGTGTATAAATCAAGGAATGACAAAGATTACCAGGAACCATCAGAAGCTAAGGAGTGGCAGGGAAGGACATTCCTTACAGCAAAGGTAAGGCTGACTCCTTGCTTTTAGACTTCTAGTCTCCAGAAGGGAGCTCTGGTGGCCTAGTGGTAAGGAGTTGCCCCTGGCAACCCAGAAGTATGCGGTTCAAATCCTCTAGCTGCTCAGTGGGAGATAGATGGACAAGCTCCTCCCATGTGAAAATCCACTGGCGGGTCAGCTATGGCTGGATGGTAAACAATAACAACAACAATGTCCAGAACTATTAGTGAATACATTTCTGTATTGTTTTAAGCCACCAGTTTGTAGTAATTTGTAATGGCAGCACTATCAAACAAATACAGATTTAAAACATGGAATACAGAATTTGAGTATCGGCTGTCTTATATATGTTGTTGATGATTGTCGTTGAGTCGAGCACGACTCGTAGTGACTCTATGGACAAAAGACCTAATGCCTTTCCATAACTGTCATCATTTCACCAAGTTCAGAGAGTTTCCAGAGGCATGTGGTTTAGGAAGTGGATGCCACTCCTGCTTCCAAACCTGTTTTACAACTGTCCCACCAAGCACTGTCCACATTGGGAAGCCATTCTGGTATTTGATATCCCAATGGCACAAGGTTCAGCATCACAGCAATCCAGGTTACTCCATACTGTACATTGACAAAGAGTGATGTGCAAAGTGGAAGAGTGTTTCTGCAGCTATAACAGCACTAGTCAGCTCTCTGATCTCTGGTTTCCTCATCTGTAAATCTGAGGAATTCTGTGTCCTGAATTGTACAACCCAGTTGGTAAGGAGTTGCGCTGACTGCTCAAAGGCAGGGGGTTTCAATCCACTAGTTGCTCCATTGGAGAAAGATGAACATTCCCCTACTATGCAATTTACAGCTTTCAAAAAACCCGCTGGAGGGTCAGCTATGAGTCAGTTCTGACTGAATGAGGATTGAGTAGGCAGAGGAAAGAGTCCTAAGGGGTGAAAGCTGAAGGGAATGATGGGAGGCAGTGTAAGTGGTGAGATGTGCCTCTGTCTCTCTCAGACTGGGGAGCAGGCCACAGTGAGTACCTTGTTGGTCCAGGTGAGTCTTGCTGTATCTCAGGTACTCCCGCAGCATCTCAGGACACTCTTGCTCCAGGTAGCACTTGGCCAGCTTCACATAGACTTTCTCCTCCTCCCATTTCTTCTTGGTGTTCTGGGCTGCTGGGTCCAAGGGGACCCAGGCGGGAATTTCTTTGTTGAACTCGATGAAGTCTTGTCCGTCGTAGGCATACCTCCAGAATGCGCCACTGCTTTTGTTGTTCCGCAGCTCACAACCAAACATTCCCTGAAAGGTGTGAGACCCTGAATCCTCCCCAACCCCACAGGAAGTCAGTCATTCTGGCATCAACTCCATCTTACATCATTCCTACACAGTCTGTAAATCAGTAGGAAGAAAAATTTTTATAATCTAAGCATAGAATTTCTTTATCTTACCATATTCACTATTCACTAAACATAGAGTTGGGAACACAAAGGAAACTATTTGGTGGCTTAATGATAAGGAGTTGCACTTCTAACCCAAGGGCACAGGGCTCAAATCTACCCACTGTTCTGTGGGAGAAAGATGGGCCATCTCCTCTTGTGCTGTTTACAACCTCTGAAAACCCACTAGAGAGTTAGCAATGAGTTGGTTCTACCATTTAACAGCAACAGCATGGTGAAGGATAGGGCAAGGCTCAGACCTGTTGTTTACAGGGTCGCTGTGACCAGATGCTATCTAACAAGAAGAACTATGGATGGCCTAGTGGTAAGAATCTGAGCTGCAGTCCTGAAAGAATATGGTTCAAATCTACCAGCTGCTCCAAGTAAGAAGAATGGACAATCCCTTCTCGTGCAATTAACTGCCTCTGAAAATCTGCAGGAGGCTCAGCTCTGGGCCAGTTCCGATTCGACGACACACAACTCCAACAACCAGCACCTTTTTATTAGCTCTGGTGGCATCGTCTATCAGGAATTGCATTCTAACCCAAGGAGAATCAGGGCTATATCTCCATCTCACTGACTCCTTTCAACTCCTAATTGTAAAATTGCCTTTTGAACCAAGACCCTCTACTCCATCAATCCTCATCCACTGACCTTCTTTGTCCTTGTAATAGCTCATGATGTCTTGCAAGGTCACCATGAAGATTTCTTCCCTGGACTTCTGCAGTCGGCTCTCTTTCTCCCAGTCCTCCATTCCTTCCAACTCACTCCAGGGGCTCAGGGGTTCAGCCTTCTTGCTTTCACTATTGTAGCGGAAGAAGGCCTGGTCATTGAGGTAAGCGATAGCCTGAAACCTGGGGAAGCCTTCACTGGGCTTGGACACCCCAGTATAAAGGAAGGTCAGAGAGTAAGGCCCTGTAAAAGAGAAAAGGACTTTGAGGTATGGGATTCATCTACTCAAGGGAGTGAACTGTGGGGCAGCAAACGGCCGGCAAGGAAGATCTCCCCCAGTTCTCTCTTCCCTGTGTTCAGTCTCATATCATTGCTAATTCTTTTTTTTTTTTATTCACTTGTAAGGGTTCTACTTGAGGGAGCTCTGGTGGCCTAGTGGCAAGAAGCTGCACTGCAGTCCCGAAGGCACTTGGTTTGAGGCCACCAGCTGCTCCGTGGGAGAAGGATGGGCAGTCTCCTCCTCTGTGATTAACTACCTCTAAAAACCCACCAGAGGGTCAGGTATGGGTTGGATCTGACTTGACAGTATACAACAACAACAACAACATCAACATCAGGAAGAAGAATAAGATGTCTACTTAGGAGGAGTCGCTCAGAAGCTAGTCTTTATCTTTCCTCTCTTTGGCATATAAAAACAAAGAGAATTTCTGTCGCTTTGTAGGTATTGACTGGGATCACTTGACAAAGCGGAATGTAAAGTGAAGTGATGCATTTCTTCTGATTTAAGGCCTTTTCAAATTGACTGGCCTCTTTGCACCTGAGGCAATAAGTATTGAGGCCACAGAACACAAACGAAGAATCTCAAGAGGCAAACAGCCTGGAGCCTTGAGTCACCTTATGAAGGAAGAAGAGTTTCTTGATTGGCAACAGATTTTGTATGAGCAAGAAAACGAACCTTTGTTGGAGTAAGATCCAACAGCTTTATTACTGAAGGTTAACCTGATGTAATCTGACAAATACAGATAAAAAGTGCAATAAATTTTACAGAAAATTCAAGAAATGACCCAGATGGAACAGGACAGGGTAAAACTAGGAAGAATCTCAGAATTCCCAGCATCATATCTTGCGTTTTGGAATGAGGTGGGTTAGGATGGCGTCATTCCCTATAAGCCATGATCAATGTTGGAGGTCATATGGAAGATTTTGAGTTCAAGTATGAAAGTTATTCTTGTGAATTAGCTTTTAAATGAAGTTACTGTAAAACCTAATCTGTCAGAGATTGGCTCAGGAGAGGACAGGTTTCAGAGCTAAAGTACATAAGGTCGTTCTGAGTCGCAGGTGTTTGATGACATACAACAACAACAATAACAACAACAACAACTGTGAAACTAAACCAAAACAAATATTCGGACAATTTGTAAATGTATCCAGTTTCTAACTTGAACGGAGTTTAGAAATCAAGTTACATTTCTTCATTCTGAAAAGTTGTATGTCATAAATGGCCTCAGTCCCCTGTCCCAGAACCGAATCTGGGTGTTTCCAAGCTCCAGCTGGCTTTTCGCCTTCACCGTCTGCAGTCTCTGTAGTATCTAATGGGGGTAAAGGAATGGGCTTCTCCATTTCTTCAGCTAACCCACCCTCACATTTGTCTCTTGGGGTCTGTCCGTCTTTCCTTCAGCATCAGTTAGGCACATTCAACCACTGGAAGAAGGGAGGGAACAGGAGTGATTCCTGTTCTGTCTTGGCTGTGCGATCCTGGGCAGGTTACTTACAGCTTCTCCGGGTCTTAGTTTTTGCTTGCTTGTTTTTATTTTAAACTAAGAGTTTTAGATTACATATTAGTTAAGGTCTTCAGTCCGGAGGCTCTCTGAATGCGTCTAGAAGTGAGGGAACTGGGTTATTAACAGTCTCAGATACTCATTAGAGTTAACAGTCTAACTTGTGGGAATCCAAGACACACTAGAAGCCCTTCACCCAACCCATTTCCCCAGACTTTACCTTCCTTCTCTTTCTTCTCTAGTCCCATCACCCTCCTCTTACTCACGGATTTGGTTCTCCTGGGTGAATGCAGGACCCAGAAGAAATAGCAGGTAGAGGAGCGCAGGTACCAATGTCTCCATCATGCCTGGGCAGATAGTGCTGGACTCTTCTGGGTCCTGCAGCTCAGAGAAAGCAACTTGAAATACAATGAGGTGTAGTTATGAGAATGGCTGGGCTGACAGCCAAGAGAAAAGGGGGTGAATCCATAAGCCAATAAGCAAGCTAGGATGGGCTCCTCCCCAGGAGTAAGTAAATAATAGACAAATAATCCATGCAGGGCAGAGGTTATGATCAGTGAGTCTACAGAAAAAGTCTGAAAATGGAAAGCTAAAACTGCTGATCCAAGTTTGAGGGGCTTTGTGAATCCCAAGGTAAATAAGTTCAATTCATTTGAAGTGTGTGCGGTGAGAGGCTCAAGAGAAGGGATATGACCACGCTCAAGTTCATCATCACAGTCACTGTGTTAATACATCCATCGTCTTCTCTTTCACGGACCTTTACTATTCCGAGCATGATACACTAGCACCTCCTGATAAGATGACCAAAATATGAGACAAAAAAATCTCACCATCCTTGCCTGTTAGGAACACGCTGGTTACACTTCCTCCAAGGAAAATTTGCTTGTTCTTCTGGCCGGCCATGGTGTCTTCAATATTCAACATCACCACGGAAAGGCAGTGATTTTCTTTTTTCCTTCTTTGATCTGCCTTATTCCTTGTCCAGGTTTCAGATGCATATGGAGCCACTGAAAGTTCTCTGGCTTTGGTCAGGGGCATCTTGGTCATTAAACTGACATTCTTACTCTTTAGAACTTTAAAGACGTCTTTGACGGCGTATTGGCCCAGGACCATGTCTTTTGATTTCTCGACTGCTGCTGTTTATTTCCTCCAAGTAAAATGAACTTCTTGACAACATCAATATTTTCTCCATTTATCATAATGCTGCTTACTGGTCCAGTTGTGAGAATTTTGTTTCCTTGATGGTGAGATTGTAATCCATATCAAACACTGCAGTCTTTGATCTTCTTCAATGAGTACCTCAAGTCATCTTAGGTTCTGCAAGCAAAGTGTGCCATTTGCATAATATAGATTGTTGATGAGTCTCTCTGATCCTAATGCCACATTCTTCTCAGATAGTTCAGCCTCTTGAATGATTTGCTCAGCACACAGATTGAATAGGGATGGAGAAGGGATACGACACTGATGTACACCTTTCCTGATTTTAAACAGTGCAATATTCCTTACTCTGTTCAAATGGCAGTTTCTTAGTTTATATACAAGTTTTCCCATGAGCACAAGTAAGTGTTCCCGGGTTCTCATTCTTCTCAATGTTCTCCATAATTTATTATGATCGACATAATAAAATACCTTTGCATAGTCAATAAAATACAAGTGCATATCTTTCTGGTATTCTCTGCTTTCAGCCAAGATTCACCTCACATCAGCAATAATATCACTTGTTCTACTGCCTCTTCTGAATTCAGCTTAAATTTCTGGCAGTTCCTGTCATGTATTGCTTCAGCACCTTTTCCTGATACCTCTCCCTGGAAGTTTCATTTCATTCCTATCCAGATTCTCTGCAACTTTCCAATATTCTGTTCTCAAATTCTACCCATATTCTGGGCCTTCATAGCAACCATTCACCAAATCCAGCTCACTCTCCTTGCATAGCTCCTGACTTTATGGGAGACCATCCACTTTTCACCGGCTGTCAGCAGTCAGGCACTTTAGACACAACGTTTCCAGAACTTCTCAATGGTTCACCAGTCCCGAGAAATTGGGCCTCATCTGCCTTTGCATCTAACAGTCCATATCACCTGTAAAAACGACTTATTCTGAGTTTATTTCCTTAGAAATGAACTGCAGTAACCTTAAGGTTCTGAGTAGTTAGAATACTCTGTGGAAAAAAGAAAGCAATATCTTCTTTCCTGGAACAAAGAATAGGAAAGAAAATGAAAAACCCAACACTTCTTAGAAACCATGAGTCTAAAGAACTGAGGGGCCACATACACTTCAGCCTCCATTACCCTGGGACCAGATGCACTGGACAGTGGCTGCCTCCCACTGCTGATGAGTTCAAAAGGTACCGGACAGACTGGGAGAAAAATGTGGAACAAAGCAAAACAGCCAGATTTGTTGGCCTATTAAAGACTGGTGAACCCCAGAATGTGTGGCTTCTTATCATCCTTTGAGCCCGGAACTAAGTTTAACCTTGCCATGCATCAGAGAGCTGGACAATGACTAAGGATGATAGAAGAAGAATCAATGCCTTTGAGTTCCAGTATTGGAGAAGAGCATTGAACATACCATGGACCACCAAGAGAACAAACAGGCCTGCCTTAGCGTGAAACAAAGTCACTCTCTGAAGGTAAAGAATTTGAATCTCTATTTCACATACTTTGGCTCATGGCCAGGAGGGACTAGTCCCTGGAGAAGGACATCATGCTCAGAAGGGTGGAGGGACAGCACAGGAGAGACCCCAGATGAGATGGATTGACATAGTATCTGGGATGATGGGGTAGGTGTGTCGGAGTCAGTGAGATGGACTTTGGATAGGGCAGGGTTCAGACCTATTGTACAGAGGGTCACTATCACAGGCGACTCAATGACACATAACAACAACAACAGCTACAGCAACCATTGCATCACCTTGTGGAGGACCCTCCATAGGCTGGATTGATACAGTGACTTCCATTACGGGCTTGAGCGTGACAGATCTCGAGGACAGCGCAGGATAGGGCGAGGCTCAGACCCGCTGTTCACAGGGTTGCTAGGAGTAGTAGTCGACTTAATGGCAATTAGCAACAACACTCTCTTGCCTTTTTTTTCCCTTCTATTTTCATCCAGTCACTCATACATGTTTTATTTTGAAACAATAATTACCAGGGTAAAATGCCATTATATACAATGTCCTATCAAAACCTCACTAGGCCCTCCATTGCCCTTCATGGTCTTTTTCCCCCTCACTGCTGGTCAACCCTCTGCAATCATGGATTGCCAATTCTTCAAATTTAACCTGTTGCTAAGTTGAATCTTTGCTACATACTAATGGGATCTGACTGGTACAGGAGGAGATTGTCCCTCCTTGTCCAGAAGAGCATCTGGTGGATTCAAACTGCTCACCTCTGGGATTGCAGTAATGTTACACATTTTAAATCTTCACTATATCAAGAAATCACTGGCTTAGATGCTCATTTCTTCTACTTTTATGTGTGACGATAGGCTAGATTAGCTCTTGCTCATGAATCCCCACATCATTCAGCATCCTAAGTCCTTGCTGTTTGTTTGACTCTGCGGGCAGATGCTTTCGTTCTGTTTACTGTCGAGTCAGAACCAAGTCATAGCTGACCTACCAGTGGCTTTTCGGAGGCTGTAAAGAGCACAGGAAGAGACCATCTTTCTCCTAGAGAGTAGCTGGTGGATTTTGAACTGTGTGCCTTCTGGATGACAGCACAGCTCCTTACCATTAGCCCACCAGAGCTTCCAACTTCTAGCTCTCACTCTCTCTACTGACTTCTTCCTCAACTTTTGTTCTCCCTAAAATGAAATCCTGTATCCACCTGTGGAAAAGAGAGAAACAAAGAAGAAAAGTGTCTCCTTTCATCATTGTTGGGGTGCTGAGACCCTGAGCCTCCACATTTCTTCCCACTCCCTCCCCTTGGATGGTTCCTGCACTCTGGGTGCCTTGCTGCCTTGGGTCCTGACATATTCTGTCAACAGCTGGCTGTGGGAGGAAGGCTGGTCTCATCTGGTGGGAAGAGGGGAGACAAGGAGGCCATTGTTGGAATAAAGAAGGGGAATGGGAGCTCCGTCTGCCCGTGGGGGCTTCTTTCCTGGCCCCAGGCCTCAGAAAGTTACTGTGAAAGAAGAGTCTGTGCTTTAAGGACCCATCAGGAGCTAAGAAACAATGATGCAGAGCCCCCCGCTCCCACCTCCTACACCCAGCACCAACCTTAGCTTCCCTGGAAGCCCACACTGACTTGGGGGCTGTGGGCATCTGTAAATGGAGCCATTGAAGAACGAGGAGAAATTAATGCAACTATGACAAAGTCCTTGTTCCCGGAATCCTGCATATCTCTTAACTTTCTGTTCTCACTTCCAACATTTAGCCAAAGACTTTGGTCACTGTGGATGCCCAGTCTGCACAAATTTGAGTTAGTGGAAGGATCATTTCTCTCGGTTTCTAAGGATATAAACATACACCATAAGACGTGCAGGATACACCCGACTCACTGGTTCCTCTTTTAAGAAGCACGTTTGAGGGTTGAGAGGCTGGAAATGCCAGAGCTCAACATTTGGGTTCTTGCTCTGCTCTTGTACTCCCTGACTTGAGTGGCCACTGCTACCCCTCTGTACTCTAATTTCCTTACTTGTGCAGCAAAGGAGAATACTATTGATATCTACTTTACAGATTACAATGAGGGTCTGTGAGTTAGTATTTGAGAATTATTTTGAGAAGCATCTGGCACATAGTGAATTCTTATCACTCGCTTTTTGCTTTTGAGTTGGATCAATACACAGCTGAACCCTCCAGCAGGTTCTCAGTGGCTGTAAGT